CAAGTTGATGAAACAAGAATATCAACAGTCTCGTTTAAAGTCATCATTTCGTAAATTCTATGGTCGATACAATGACCTTGTCAGCAAATACAATTTATCATTGAATGAAATGCTGACTGACGTTTTTCATACCAATTGTTAGTCCATTATTTATACACTGAATTGACTACGGATTTTTTCCGTTATTTCCTGATTATGACAATGAGCACACGGCGGGTGTGACCGGTCAGCAGGGGATGCTCACTCCTCCATGGCACCTGATCCCACCTCTGATGTTTCGGAGGTCCGTGTTTGCTCTGCTCTTGTTTTGTATATTTGTTTAATGGACGTTGAGATTGAATACTGTTCGTTATTTCCATATCCTTATCATTGCAGATGACATAGCTTTACTAGAACAGTGATATAAGGATATTCAAAGCAAAACTGATGACCTAGACACAGACATCCGTACAAATGCATCGGGTAGAGTCTATTGACATACCGAAGGCCTGGCAAAATCAACTAAATATGGCCTTCTTCACGACATCTATATAACTGAGAAGCAGATCACAAAATTCAAAAATTCCATCCAACAATTCCTTCCCATTAGGTCATAAAAATATTAGACTAAATATAAATGTAATCAAAACAAAGTTAATGAAGATATATTCAAAGATAGATACGGAAGTTACAGCAAACAATAACAACAACAGAATAGAAGTAGACAATTTTATATACCTTGGCAGTAGGATCACAGCCAATGAAGATTCCACCATGGACGTCGAAAATAGAATTGCAAAAACTTTATCCACCTTGCCAACCTACTGAACATCTGGAAATTTATAATAAAAAAAAACAAAATAAGGATATTTAAAGCAAATGTCATTGGAATACTCATTAATCGATCTGAGTTAAGGAAGGTGACAAACCACATCAAAACTCAAAAACTACATACCTTCCAAACTAGATATCTCCGTAGAATACCCAAGATATTCTGACCAAACAAAATCAGCAATGAAGAGCTTTATGAAAGAACGCACACAACTGCTGAATCTTTCCAAATTAAAAAAGAACAATAGAAAAGGATTGATCATGTGATAAGAATGAAACCAAGGGTAGCTTTAAGATGGACTCCACCAGGAAAGAGAAACAGGGGGCGACCAAAAGAGACATGTCGACGGTCAGTTGAAAACGAAATGAAGGATCATGGATGGACTTGGGGCATGGCACAGTCAATTCAATGTCAGCAGACAGACAGAGATAGTGATCCTCGGTGTAGCTTTATCTCAAAGCACGAAGAGGATTTAGTAAGTTTATGTTTATGTAGTATTTTTATTCGAAGACGAACAATTTTCATAGGAGGCGATAATGTGAAATGTTTGAGACCTTCCTCTACTATCTATATGAATACATTATATTTTGATAATATAATTCAATTTTTATATTTCAGCATAATATGTACATGCGTTCTCTTACAGCAAATATATTTTAACTGTTAAAGTTTACCAAATTTACTGTAAACGATGTTTGGAAATTCCTATTATTCACGTTTGGTAAATCCTACATTTTCATGTTTGGTAAGGAGCTAGTTTCCCATCGTCGCAAACTACGGCAAAAATGTATGATCCTCTCCCATTCTGGAGCCACGGGTAGGAGGGAACTATATGCGGTCTCCTAACCGTGGCTTCAGACGATGAAGTTTCCCACGGTGTAAAAAAGACTCTGAACGCATGGATACGTAAAAATATGAACCTTCATTATTAAATCAGCAATTATTATGCATGTTTATTACATTTAACTAATGTTACAGTTCATTGTATGATATGATTGTAATTTACCGTTTTATCGTGTGTCTGACGACCACGTTGATTTCCTTTTTATACCCCAGGCAACAAGTTGCGTGAGGTTTGTTTTTGTCCCGTCCGTCAGAGTGTCAGTCCTTTTTTTTTTTTTTTTTTTGTGTCAGCCCAACTCCTCATAAACCGCTGCACACAATTTCGTCAAACTTTGTAGATATTTAGGACATATTGTATAAATATGCATTTTACCAGAAAATTTCGATTCCTTTAATTTTTTCTAGGAATTTTCGCACGTTTACAGTTAGATTTTTGGCTATATCTTGAATATAGAGCTGAATAGTTTTTCAGCACAACTCCTCATAAACCGTCGCGCACAAACTTTGCAGATATATGACACAATATGTAGATGTGCATATTACCAGGAATTTCCAATTCCTTAATTTTTTCCGGGAATTTGAGCACTTCGACTTCTGGGGGAGCGTTGGGTATGTGAGCTTGCTCACTTTTTCTTTCATTGGTCATGGAGATATGGAAGATTCTTATTAATTAGGGGGGGGGGGGGTAAGGTTATTGTACCCCGTCCTAGAACGTGTTTATTGTTAATATTAATACGAAAGGATTTGTCTTACCAAATCAACAAGGATTACCAAATAACAAATTACCAGGTTATGCCATACAATGTTTACTGGTTACACTGAAATATATCTCCTTTATTGGAGATTTGATCAATCTAATAAGCCCCATACTGAAGTACCCCGGGCACGGGGTTACACCTCACCAATGAAATACTCCTGTCTTGTCTGTAGTTTGATAATGGTTTTTCTGCGCTACATTCTTGTGTCGATACGATATATTCATGTGAGCTTGCAATAAAACATACCACACAGTCCGATTCATCTGTATTATATTTGTATCTTTTAATTAGCCAAGCTTTATGATAAACGAGATGACTTAAAGTTTTCATTTGTAAACTTTCTATTCTTATAACCGGTTAACCCCTTCCATGGCAAAGATTTTTAGCATTTTTAGAGCAATTGATATCAAGATTTTAATGCATTTTTTCGGGTATTTCTTGTAATTTTTGTAAATACCAATGTATATCCATTCTGAAAGTACGTTTTGCGAGCTTTCTGAAAATGATAATGAAAACCTTCTTTCTGTTGCCATGGCAACGAAATATGCCCAAACTATTGAGAAATCTCTATTTAACCTTCAATTAGTAATATATTAACTTTTTTAGTTCAGTAAAGTATTTAAAGTAACTAAATTTTGATGTTGAGACATAGCAGCATATTGTTTACCTAAAGTTTTAATCATATTTTAAGCACTTTAGGGAGTAAATACAGGATTTCAACATTTTATGCTCCATTAGGGAAAAGGAAGATTAACGTTGCTTAACAGCTATCTCTCACAATCATAGACCAAGTATTACTCATTCCATGTCTGAAAAATCCTTTGCTTGACAGACAAGAAACTTAGTACATGTACACTGGTACCCCTTAGTAAGTAAATGACCCCTTTTGAGATGGAGGTCAAAAGGTCAAAGGTCAAACCATTCAAAATATATAAAGATATTAACCATTCAAGATCTTGAAAACCCTTTGCTCAACATAGTATATGCAGTGCAGATCTAAGAAGTCTGAAAATCACATTACATTGTTGCTTTTCAGACAACAGTTTTTGTTCACTGTTATCCTCTGAAGAGTAAATTACTTCTGGTGATTTTTGGTTTGATAGAATGTTTGCCCTTGACCAGTAAACAACTATTTTCTTCACAATAACAAATTCTAAAGTTTTTTTCCAGCATTGTCGTGCAGGTATAAATTATAAATGTATTTGTTTCTCGAACAATTCTTGTTTTTCATCACACTTTTTTACCCTGGTAGGAATGATCATAATTGTTTACAAGTGGTAATTACTTTCAAGTAAATATGAAGCAAAAATTACACAAGCAGAAACATAGATGTTTTTTATGGCTCTGGACAAAAAAGAATAGAAAAAAATCAAAGACTTTGAACCTTTATAATTCATAGACTTTTCAAAATTAGAATGAAGTTGAACTTTGATCTATGACATAGGACAATGCTGCATAATTGAAAAAAGAATACCTCTTTGAGTAGACACCATCATTCTTAACTTGCAAACTTAAGGAGATTTACAAATTAAAATTTTAGCTTCAAAAATAAGATTTAGAAGATTTGATATGCCTCTATACATGGTATTCAAATTTTGAAATATACTGTGTAAAATTAAGGAATATTAACCTGGATCTTTGAGTCATTGTAATGTACAGTAATCCTATGTTTTATGTATTCCTGCAAGTTACGTCTCATACAAATTTTCCAAGCATTATTATGTGACTTATGTAACAAACTGATCCTAGAGATTAACATCAGAATGAAATTCCCTGAAACACTGTTCACTACACAAGTGTTTGTTACACCCTTTACAACCATAAACTGTCTCCTTTCTTTTCTTTTCTCCGTGTTTGGTACACCATTTGCATGTTGACTTTAGGTGATCCAGATGGCAAAAAACATGAGGGGGGGTCAAGAATACCCTGTAAATGATGGCCCCGCTTTCTTCCTCTGAAGCCTCCAATAAGTTGCTGAGCCATCTCCATCCTGAAATCCAGCAGGTCAAACCTTGTTTTTGCAGGAAGATCCTTACCAGGTGTTATAGTAAAAATTTCAAACGCATTTATAAGGCAAACTTCCATAACAAAATTGAAGAAAATCTTCCAGTATTTTTTGGATGGTCTGCCAACAGGATTCTTTTCGCGGTGTTGCATGCATCTGTCAACTCCACTGATATAACGTTGATAGGAAGATACTGGTGGAGGACACATAACCTCAACAAAGTTTCCACCACGAGTTCGGCGGACAACTGGACCATCTCCAAACGGACTACAATTAGTGCTCAAAATACGTACCTAAAATAAAATTACATAGAGATATAGGCCTAGCTGGAAATTAACCTTAGGCTACATATAGATATATTTGAAGCACTTCAAACTTTTTTTAAAAATTCATATCATGTTCCTGATAATGATACTTCTGAAAAAAAATACTGTAATCAAAATACTTCTTTGGGATTTTAAAATAAGCACTGAAACCATATTTGCACTATGAGATTTTTAACAAAGATATAGACAAAAAAAGTGCACAGGAATATCATTAATCAGATCTACTTTATGTCCTCCATAAATCTTTAGTGGAAAGTTTAATAATTGCAGGTAGAAGTGTGACTGTGATAAATGTTGCAATTTTTATTTAATGTTGAAACATTGTACATGTCTGTATGAAGACAATGAATATGTAATACCGTTTTCTTATTTTTCCAAGCAGTGGCAAGCAATTGGTCGTGCTGCATCTGTAATGTCTCCCCTCTTCTTAAATCCGGATTTCTTAACTCTGGCGGAAACCCTTCTGAGTCGCTCTTTATTGTCCCACAACTAAAAATCCCATTCTGAAGCAAGGTTCGCACCAAGGAAATGGATGTAAAGAACCTGATATTATATAAAGTATAAAACTATTAGACATTGAAAAGTATGAAATTATTTTGATAATGAATCTATAATCAGTCTTGTTGAACAATGTTGAAGTCATTTTAAGTTGTTTCAAACACAAACCTGTCAAAGAACACATGATGGCCTTTGTATTTCAATGGTCTACACAAGTGTTTGACGACTCTTTCTCCTAGTGACTTTCCATGAAAAAAGTTATGTTTTCCCATATATGGCCAATAATCGTAGCAGTAACCATCCTCATCACATCTCATGAATATCTGAAAAAAATATTTTGTTGCATCAGATTTTTTTTATAACTATTCACCTATCATTTCAGAGACATATACATTAGCCGGTGGACCAGTGGGGGGATGATTACCTGTCCTTCTCATCCATTCCCTGATCCACCTCATCATCATATAAAAATATTTTTTATGCTTCCTTAGTGTTTTTTTTAAATATGTAAATAATAATTTTAACAAAATTACATTATTTTGTGTATCACAATATTAATTTATTGAATGCAAATAGGCATTTCATTGATACAAACCTTAAAACCTCTCTTGACCGGTTTATTTGGCATGTATTGTCTTGCAAAAAATCTCCCTTTGTACTTAACCATGCCCTCATCAATAGCCTGCTGCTTAGGTGGATTCATCTGACTCCGGAATGTCTTTCTTGTCTCGTCAAATAAAGGTCTTATTTTATGTGATCTGTTGAAAAGAAATGTGAAATATAAATGTATAAAACAAAACGAAGACACTAAACTATAGTGATGTGAATCGGTATCAATTTCATAACTGATTATTGGTTTTCTGTAACTAATATCAATTATAATTAATTTAAGATCACTGTTGAATAATTTCTAGAATATTTATATTGATTAACTATTAAAATAGAGCATTATAAACTGCACACCTGTCAAATTCAGATGTACCTCTGGCTCCCTGAGTAGTATTATCACTTAGATGGAAATACCGAGTGAGCTTTTCAAATCTTTTCAAACTCAGCGTCTCTTGAAAACCAATGTTACCTGCATATGATTGTAAATTTCACTTATCAATGTCAATTTAAAAAACAAATTCAAAACTAAATGGATTTTACCTTTAGAAAATGAAAAAAGAAATTATGAAACGATTTTAAATGACTTACACTGCCAATTCCAGAAGAGCACTAAGCAGGTGTAAAGTATTTTCATTTATTCAACATACTCCTCAATATTTAGAAACTTTATGATCCGAGTTGTTTTATTGTAAAGGTTTAAAGACATTTGTCAGCTCAATATCTAAATAAACATTGTTTGAATAGAAATACAAACATAAATTTAATACAAATGAAACAAGTTGAATTGGTGTGCAATTCATAGACAGAAACAAAAATGTACATTACATTATGTTTATATCTTGTTACACACACAAAACAAAGACCAAAAAAAGTAAACAATGTAGTCATGAACATTTCCAGACAGTGTGAGGCACAGCAATTATGAACTTAGCATAATTAAGTTCATTACATGTAATAATATTCCTTATTTTTATTTTTTTATCAAGGAAAAATGGATCAATGTTCGTTGTAAATATAATAAAATTTAATGTACTTTTCAAAATCTGGAAAGGAAAATGACTGATAATATTTTTTGAAATTGTAACATGAACATTATTTTTAACAGAAAGTATTCCAAAGAAAAAAAAAACACAGGTGCAAATTTGATAACTTACCGATAAACTTATCAGATGACCAATACATAGTGTATCTGGGAAGCTGAATAATCCCCATCAGAATTTGTAAGCCGAGGAATGCCTTCATCTCGTTGATGGTGGTATCGGTCCAACCCAGGGCTCCACTCTGAGCAGCATACGAATTGGTGTTGTCCACAAGTACCTGTACCAGACTCGAGGGAAACAAGAGCAGGAAATATAACAGAGGATTTGCATCCCAAGAGAGCTGATGAGTGGGACCTGAACTATCGATGAAGTCTGGAACATCAAAGTCTTCCACAACATCAGTCCAGAATTCAGAATCTCTAATGTCGCTGGCCTGGCTATCAAGGTCAAATAATGTGGAATCGGTGTCCTGGTTGTCATCGCTGTCTGTCTCACTTCCAAAGGAATGGTCGCTGTCTGAATCATCCTGATCAAAATCTGATCCAGACTCGGATGAATCGTCGTCAAATTCTTCGTCTGTATCTATATCTGACGATTCTGGGGATGAAGAAATGTCGCAAGAACCATATTGTTGACATGTGTTACGAACGTTGCCAAATATACGCAGAACGATCCCGACTGAATTCATTATATTTTCGCATGTTTTCTTTTTTTTTAATCAAAACAAGAAAACCATCTTCTTTATTGTAAAAAAAATTGTTCATGTATTTTTAACAGTTTTTTACTTGTTTTTAGCTCTACTGGTCAGAGACCAGAAGAGCTTATGCGATAGTAATGCGTCCGTAGTCCGTCCGTCTGTCTGTCTGTCTGTCTGTAAACAATCTTTCAAAATGCTACTCCTCCTACAGTTATGGTCTGATTTCAATATAACTTCACACACAAGTAGACTATACTAAGATACATAAATCTGTGTATCGGTTTTTGATTCTGATTAACGTTTTTGCCGTCGTTGCTAAAAATAGAAATTTCTGTGAAATTCTTTCAAAATGCTACTTCTCCTACAGTTTTGGTCTGATTTCAATATAACTTGGCACATAAGTAGACTACACTAAGATACATTATTCTGTGTATCGGTTTTTGATTTCGATGAATGGTGTTGCCGTGGTTACTAAAAATAGAAATTTCTGTGAAATTCTTTCAAAATACTACTCCTTCTACATTTTTGGTCTGATTTCAATATAACTTAGCACACAAGTAGACTACACTAAGATACATAATTCTGTGAATCAATTTTTGATTTCGATGAACGGTGTTGCCGTTGTTACTAAAAATAGAAATTTCTGTGAAATTCTTTCAAAATGCTACTCCTCCTACAGTTTTGGTCTGATTTCAATATAACTTGGCATACAAGTAGACTACACTAAGATACATAATTATGTGTATCGATTTTTGATTTCGATGAACGGTGTTGCCGTTGTTGCTAAAAATAGAAATTTCTGTGAAATTCTTTCAAAATGCTACTCCTCTTTCAGTTTTGGTCTGATTTCAATATAACTTGGCACATAGGTAGTTTACACAAAGATACATAATTCTGTGTATCGGTTAACGGTGTTGCCGTTGTTACTAAAAATAGAAATTTCTATGAAATTCTTTCAAAATGCTACTCCTCCTACAGTTTTGGTCTGATTTCAATATAACTTGGCATACAAGTAGACTACACTAAGATACATAATTCTGTTTATCAGTTTTTGATTTCGATGAACGGGGTTGCCTTGTTGCTAAAAATAGAAATTTCTGTGAAATTCTTTCAAAATGCTACTCCTCCTACAGTTTTGGTCTGATTTCAATATAACTTGGCACTCAAGTAGACTACACTAAGATATGTAATTCTGTGTATTGGTTTTTGATTTCGATGAACGGTGTTGCCGTTGTTACTAAAAATAGAAATTTCTGTGAAATTCTTTCAAAATGCTACTCCTCCTACAGTTTTGGTCTGATTTCAATATAACTTGGCATACAAGTAGACTACACTAAGATACATAATTATGTGTATGGGTTTTTGATTTCGATGAACGGTGTTGCCGTTGTTGCTAAAAATAGAAATTTCTGTGAAATTCTTTCAAAATGCTACTCCTCTTTCAGTTTTGGTCTGATTTCAATATAACTTGGCACATAGGTAGTTTACACTAAGATACATAATTCTGTGTATCGGTTAACGGTGTTGCCGTTGTTACTAAAAATAGAAATTTCTATGAAATTCTTTCAAAATGCTACTCCTCCTACAGTTTTGGTCCGATTTCAATATAACTTGGCATACAAGTAGACTACACTAAGATACATAATTCTGTTTATCAGTTTTTGATTTCGATGAACGGGGTTGCCTTGTTGCTAAAAATAGAAATTTCTGTGAAATTCTTTCAAAATGCTACTCCTCCTACAGTTTTGGTCTGATTTCAATATAACTTGGCACTCAAGTAGACTACACTAAGATATGTAATTCTGTGTATTGGTTTTTGATTTCGATGAACGGTGTTGCCATGGTAACTAAAAATAGAAATTTCTGTTAAAAAATCTCAAAATGCTTCTCCTCCTGCAGTTTAAGTCTGATTATAATATAATGTGGCATGTGGCATGCAAGTAGACTATACTAAGAACATAAAGAGACTTAATCAAGGATCATTATTCTTTTTATTGCTGTTGTAAAGTTTCAATTCCCAACATCTTAAGAACTTTTCTCTTCCTTTGCTATAAGTACAAACCAGTAGAGCTTCAGTCTCGACAGAGACTTCTGGTTTTTTTCTCTTCCGGGGAAATTCCATATCCATATATCGTAATACGAACGTTCCTCTCAGAAATATTTTTTTGAATTGGTCAACTAAAAACATTTTCTATCATTATCTAACGTGCTTATGTATATTTTTACTAGATAATTAGTTTCTAACATATCTAATTGGATAAACTACTTGGTTTTGATATTTTCTGAAGTTGTTTAAACGTGTTTTGCCACGAAAATTTGACAACTGTTTGTACCGCGTGGATTTCGATCGCGGCAAAAATCACTTGAATAATACACGTTGTTTAACTCAAGATACCAAAAAACTGGTAAATCAAATTAAAAAATATTTAGAACAAACTTTCTTTGCAATTGTTCCCTTTTTCTGATGATACAAAAATTATTCCAATATTCGCAGAATTAAAGAAGTTATGAATATTTGTTTACACTATACACGTTTTTCACGCCAGAGGCGTAGAAAATCGTATATGCCATGGAAGGGGTTAAGGTAGCCTTGTGGTAGAGCCGCGTCAAACCTATGACGTAAACATAGGAACTGACTGTTCCTTTGCCAAACGCTCGGCATTAGAAGTGAAAGACACGGATCTTTCGGATATGACCTTAAAAAACGTAGGTCCCGTGTCACAGAAGGCGCTGGCATGATAAAGAACCCTCACTTCTCAATGGCCCCGAGTGCCGAGTATATGTCTAAATTTGAAGCCCTTTACCGGCAAAAGGTGACGTCTTTATATAAGTGAAAAATTCTCGAATGGGACGTTAAACAACATACCACTAATACAATTCTTTCATTTGCAGCAATAAACCTTCATCACCTGCAAACGGAGTTTTTATCTCCCATGCAGTTGGTTTGATACGCTAAGCGTGCTTAACGTTTGAACAATTTATTTTTAAAACGGAGTAAGTTATGGAACTATAACTGAAGTTTCTGTAACAAGAATTGCTTTAAGTGTCGTTTGGAGTCATCATTTTGTAAGTTCAATACAATGATCGTGTCAGCAACTACAAAACTAAAAGTTATTACTTTAACTGTGCCAGCAGTTATTCATGAAAATATAACCATTTATGAAAAGTATTAAAATAATTTTAAAAATCATCTCTCTCGCACTCCCCCATCTAAAAGCAGTAACATCTTGAAGATATATTGAGGGTTAAAAGATGTGTGGGTGGTGGGGAAAAGAAAGAGAAAAATGTCAATGCAACTACAATGATACACATATTTTTACAAGTTTTTCAAAGGTTGGATAACTATAAATTTATATTCATGAAATTG